ACATCTCTGAGGCCTTAAGAAATTGTTTGGCCTGTCTACCGATTGTCCAGAACATATGTTAAAACTTGATGTATGTAGCAAGCAAGAAATTTTCTAACAATAGATATTTTGCACAAGATGTTTTTCATTTTATAAAATGCAGTTTTTGTCTGTCCTATTCTGTTTCTTATTTCAGTAATGCATCATCCATCTGATGTTATCCATGTGCCAATTCGCATTTAAATCATCGTTCGCTCAGTGAAATTTAAACGCACCTTCGTATTCTCGTTAGCAATATCTTCAAATTTGATTTGGGCTAAGACACCCTGAAAGAACGAACAAATGCATGCAATCTCTCTCTCTCTCTCTCTCTCTCTCTCTCTCTCTCTCTCTCTCACACACACACACACACACACACACACACAGACACACACTCACACAATCAACAACAACAAAATAACGAATTGCCTTTAAATATACTCACACAATCAACAACAAAAAAATAACGCATTGCCTTTAAATATAAGTGCTTACTTGACGAGGCTAACAGTTACTATTGTACGGACCACATTTTCCACTTTAAAATTTCAGCCAAAATGTAGTTACAACCTAATTTATCCGCTGCACCTTCACGAATACAGGTGCAAATTTTTAGCACGCTGCGGTTTGCATTTTATGCAGTTATGATACACTTTGAGTGTGAAAGAAGGGGAAAAAAACTTTTTTCGACAGTGGCGAGGAAAGACAATTTTAATTTTCACTTTTAAGTATCTTCATGCCTTCTTTGATAATGCCACAATTTATTCCTGACTTTTCTTGATTTTCGCAGCGGCACCTCTGGCGTACGCACCCAGTTTGAGAACCTCTGGTTTAATGCCTCCGTCGAGTCAGCAGGCAAAGACCTTGCCAGCTGCTGTTCCATGCAACCAGATCGCAGTCCCCCCCCCCCCCCCTTTCCTTCCCCGCTACGACAGACCACGGCCTACTCTACTCTAGAGCTGGTCGTGGACAGACTTAGACAACGGCAACTATTGTGTTAATGAGAGAGTTATTTCTGTCCATCGCAGTGTATGCAGAAACTACTATTCGTATTCGGCCCGACCTCCAGTATTCGGCAGAATACCTATTAGGTCCACTATTCGGCCCCGAAGCGAATATCCGGTACAGCCCTAGTTTAGACCCCCTGTATTGCCCGGCTCTCTAGCGAAGTTGGTTAAACCTGACTTTCGCGGCGGCCGGGTGACGAACTCCTTGTGGTCCGGGTTCACTCCCGGGGGTAGGCAGAAAAGCCACATTTCTCCCAGATTAACGGTACCTATAATGGAATCAATGCCGAAGGGTTGCGATATCCATACTACCGAGCCAAAGGGTTTACAACTCATGGTTTCTGGATACGTTAAAAAAAAAAAAAAAAAAGACCCTCTGTATAACATACAAAGGAATGCAGTAGACAGGGCAGTCAGACCAGACAATACGAGAGCTTCTACAGCCAAACATACTGCCTCCACCTCTCACAAGTTCGTCGTACAAGCTGACTAATTAGGGGTGCTTCTTTCGAAGTCAGAGTGCATTAGCTTGAAATGCGAGGAACCAACAGTCTGCATACAAATATGTCAGATCAATTTAAGGGATGTGCACGTAAAACTCAAGTTCTGGAACTAAAACCAAAGTCCAAAAGGGGACGAAAACCAGAACTTTCCAATAGAGTTTACAGTATGTAATTTTGTACATATATCCCACAGCGATCGTCGCTGGGGCTTTCTGAGAGCCATGTACGCAGTGCAGGGAAGTCAACCATCTGGAAAAGCTTTTAACGCTTTTTTTTTTTTTTTTTAATAAGGCTGGGTGGAGCTTGCGGCTGGACCAGTTCAATACGAAATCCTCCCCGTGTGGGTTTCGGGAAAACAAGAACAGACCCACTGCCTCCCTAACAAGCATTTCTTAGGAGTCGACTAATTGTGGAGTTCCTTCGAAATCGAAGAGCATCTGCCCGAGCGGCCAGGAACTACTAGCATACAAGCCAGTAAAACAGATGTACACAAAACTGAGGCCCAGAGCCAAGGTCCAAGTGAACTAACAACCAGAACTTTCGCCGGAGCTTACAGCCGGTGAACGAAGAAGAAGAAGAAAACAAATCCACCGTTAGAGGGAAATGACCACAGTACCGGGAAGCTAGAGTAATTCTTGCTATGCTATCTGTTCTCTTGTTTAATTAACTGCTACAAAAGCAATCAAAGTGGACCAAGTGGGCCAAGGTTTAGTGACCTCGTCACGTCCGGGATCTTACAGAAGTCGAGACCGTCACGTGCGCGGAAAGTTTTGGTCTCTGGTCTAATCAATGATTGTGTTCCACGGAAGTCTGTCAGAGGACTGTTTTTTTTCCTCCGAGTTTTAGTTTTCATTGTTTGATTAATTCAGAATTATTTACTATTTGAGCAGAGATGTTTCGTTGAACGATTTGGGGGAGGGGGTTGGGATTCTTTTGTGATATCAACATTCTGTGTGGAGTTTACTTGGGTATTATTTTTTTAGGTCACCATAAACAAAATTTTTCAACGATCTTCTCGACCTCCTTACATTATCTTTCCTTACCGCCTCTTCAGTCACCTTTAAAGAGCTGGTCAAAGTGTCCGAACAAGAATCAAACATGTGAAGGGCTCAATTCACACTGGGCCGTGAATGCAAGGAATGACCAGCCGGTTCGGCAGAATAAATTTCACAACTGATTCACAATTCCTGCCCAGGTGATGTCATTATCTGTATCCGTGGTTCTGTGTTGACAGGCAGACGAAGTGCATGGGGGTTTTTAGTTTCTAGCCAAAGAAAATGGACGTCGCCTAGTGCAACAAAATCTGGCCTATGATACCATAACATCAAGTCTGGGAATGGAGTTGGAGGCAGTCATGCTGTCTCCCGCTGGCGCTTGAGAACCATCTGTACGAATATGTCGTAACTGTAACCCACTCACAAAACATGTTGAGAAAAGTGGAGACAGGCATGCTACGTGGAAAGTGGCAAGCATCGTTTCAAAGTTCCCAGGTCGTTAGCTTCCTTTGGATATTTTCTTAAGATGACGCTAATGTATTGGGAAACGAACAGGCAGATAGACTGGCTGGTTCTGCGCCACTTGATGGTAAACTGATGTAGGATAAGCTAAATGTTTTAAAATCCGTTTGAGGAGAGTACACCAAGACCGTCTTCAATAATTGAAGACGGTCTTTCGTGAACAGTGAGGAATCACAAGTATATCATTACGGTCTGAGGAGAATGATGTTGCGAGAAATTAACCGGGGATCAATTAACCAACGGAGTTCCAAGTTTACAGCGGATGGCATACATGTCATAGAATTGGAAACAAATGTCAGAAAACAAAGTAATTTAACAAATACCCTAGCGTCCAATCATCAGTGCACTGGAGAAGGGCAACAGATAACAGAATGACTAACTAGCAATATTCTTCCACAGGCGGTTTCAAGCAACTTGTGAAAGATATGTATCGCGAGAGAGACAGACACTTAAGGTGAAGTTGTCGGTTTTACTTGAACAGGCCGAAAACGAAATTCGGAATCTAGAAATGTGGAAACTACCATCACCTGACTTTAATAGTGGCCAGGACATCTAGTGGGACTGACGTCCAATCAACGACTCCCATGGGCCTACATATGAATAGGCTCTGATTATAGAGACGGGGATATGTGGGTAACTGAGAACCATATTGGAATACCCTGTAAAGATGCTTTTTAGGGTGTGTTTTTGGGTCTGATCACTAGCAATGTATAAGGGCCATAAATGCGGTACTTCACAGGTTAGTGAACAATTTCACAGCCTTTGACGCGTCAGGGTTCTATTTCTGTAGCAAGCGGTTTAGAAAATATCTTTCTCTCTCTCTTGTCCACCCTCTCTCTCTTGTCGCCTTTCTTTCTTTTGTCCTCCCTCTCTATCTTGTCCCCTCTCTCTCTCTTGTCCCCTCTCTCTCTCTTGTCTCCCCTTCTCTCTTGTCCTCCCTCTCTCTCTCTCTCTCTCTCTTGTCCTCCCGCTCTCTCTCTCTCTATTGTCCTCCCGCTCTCGTCCCCCTCCCTCTCTTGTCCTCTCTCTCTCTCTCTCTTGTCCTCTCTTTCTCTTGTCCTCACTTTCTCTCTTGTCCTCTCTTTCTCTTGTCCCCTCTCTCTTGTCCCCTCTTTCTCTTGTTCCCCCCCCTCTCTCTCTCTCTCTCTCTCTCTCTCTCTCGTCCCCTCTCTCTCTTGTCCCCTCTCTCTCTTGTCCTCCCTCTCTCTCTCTCTCTCTCTCTCTCTCTCTCTCTCTTGTCCACCCTCTCTCTCTTGTCCCCTCTCTCTCTTGTCCTCCCTCTCTCTCTCTCTCTCTCTCTCTCTCTCTCTCTCTCTCTCTTGTCCTCCCCCCCTCTCTCTCTCTCTCTCTCGTCCCCTCGATATCGACGCGGATTGACAATAGCCATTGCTGCCCATCAAGAAATGGATCACAAACTGTTCCTCCCCAAAACGCTTACTGGCAGCAGTAGAAGTTGATGATGATTAGGATGACAGATCATTCATTTCCACTGCTAGCTTCTGACAAATTGCCTATATTTGGGAAAACGCGCCATAATTCTAACGGTCTGGTCTTGCTTTCCCGCTGCAGGTTTTCGGTGTCCCATTGTTGTTGTGGGTGGAGGTTGATAACAGACCCACTGCCTTTTAACAAGCATGCCGTAGTAGGCGACAAATAGCGATGTTTCCTTTGAAGTCGAGTGCATCTGTCTGAGATGCGAGGTGCCAAGAGTCTGCAATCAGATGAGTTCGATGTGTAACCTGGATGTGTCGGCAAAACTTACCTTCTTAAACAAGACCAAAGATCAGAAATGGACGAAAAACCAGAACTTTCCACCAGAGTTAATAGCCAATAAACGCGATGAAGAAGAAGGAGGTTCTTGTTTAATTTGATTTTGATCACACAGAACATGTGAAATTGCTTGTCTCTCAGGAGAAGCCATGTATACAATGACTGTATTTATAATTTCTCCTCAGCTTCTTCATCCTACGCCACAAGTCCATGAACAAACAGTCCATCTACGTGTACTTGAGCATCCTCGCCATCTTCGACAGCCTGGTGCTCTATGTTGGACTCCTGAGACAGTGGCTGGGTGAGATCACAGGTTCGGATCTCAGAAACGGCAACAGTTGGTGCTGTAAGGGCATCGTGGTGGCCGGCTACATCTGCAGCGACGTCTCTGTGTGGCTGATAGTGGCCGTTACCGTGGAGCGATACATCGTCGTCTGCCACCCCTTGCGAGCATCTTACTTCTGCCAGGAGGTCAGGGCTAAGAAAGTAGTTCTGGCCATCATTCTACTGTTTATCCTCATCAATTTCCATCTGTTCTTTAGCGTGGACGTACAGAAGCACGCGGACAATGCCAATGGCATCTATGAGCTTAAATGTGACCCTAATCCAGGGTTCGAATACTTAGTGTCGTTTGTGTGGCCTTGGGTGGACGCCTTGCTCTACGGATTTGGGCCTTTCGTTCTTATCAGCATTTTAAATGTTGTTATTCTCGCTAAGGTAAGTCTTTTCTTACGTTCTTCTAATTTGTAACTCTAACATTCCATATTCCCCGTGTGGGTTCCGGGGTCTCATTGTGGAGACAAACAAGAATAGACCTACTGCCTCTGCTACAAGCATGTCGTAAAAGTCGACAAATTGGGTGTTTCCTTAAAAGTCGGAGTGCGCCTGCCTGAGAGGCAAGGAACCAAAAGTCTGCCTACTTATAAGTCAAATCCATAAAACGGATGTACACGCTCACTGGGATTCTGGAACAAGGCCAAAGTCCAGAGGTGGATGAACAAGCAGAACTTTCCGCTGGAGTTTACAGCCGGTAAACGCCAAAAAGAAGCAAAAGAAACATTCCATATTCAGTGATATCTGCAAGCTAGGGCTCTTAGGATGCCATGTCTGTCAGCGTATATTGTCACGATAATCCTTTACTTCCTAGAACATTTCCTAGTATCAGTCTTTAAAAAACAGACAAGGAAGCCCTAGTGAAATTTGTAAATAGTTCTGTCTTGCAGGGAATACGGACCGAGAGGCCGGAAGGTTACCCTATGCCTCCAAGCCGGATCCATAAAATATTCAAGGACACTCGCCGCCACCACCGTTTCTATTGTCTTTTCTGTGCATTTGTAAGTGGCAGGAAATGTATCCGTCTGATAGCGCAACTGCGCATGTCAGAATCTGTCACGCGCTTAGAAACTGCTTAGCTTATAACTAAAATGGAAAGGTATGAAATGTAATGAGACAATCAAAGAAACAAGTTTGTATACCAGGAAAACACACACCTAAAGCATGTTAAATTAAGAATCGACATCACAGCACTCGGGACACTCCCATAAGCGCTCCGTCCCCCATCTTCAGCAGAGTTAAAATTCCGATGGTGCCAGTAACAGTCTGATTGTATATCCGTCTCGCCCCTCCCCCCGAGTTTCGAGCGTCGGCCAGATCCCCTTGTAACTTCTCGCAGTGCCATTCTCCTCAGACAGTAATTATCTATCTGTTCCTCGGCACTGTTCACTCGCTCCCAAAGGGCCCTCACAACATCCAGCTTGTCATATATCAGTTCACCACCAAGTGGGGCAGAACCGGCCAGTTCACCTAAAGCATGATTTCCTTCACACTGTTGTGGGTTAAATCTGGATTTCGACAGTAGCATTAGCAGCACCAGCAGCAACAACAGGTGTGGCAGTAATAGCAGCATCAGCAGTAGCAGCAGCAGTCGCAGCAACAACATCTGTGGCAGTAATAGCAGCTGCAGCAGATGACCTGTCTCATGTTATTGGCGCATGGAGTATAAAGTTCCAGACCTGTATCCTGTATACATAAATTGACACGTAATATCTATGTCATCAACATCGCGTCAGCCGCTTTTACTTTCCATGATATTTCATAGTAGCCATTTAATGCTTGGTCGACATGAGACCTCCCCCTCCCAACCCCATTCTCATGTTTTAAACCACCACATAAAGTAACGTATATTTCATAGCTGATTAAATTGCGTTAGCGTAGTCGATAGGAGACTCGCTTTCAAATCCAGCTGCGACATGCCGAAGCCCACGGCTGGTGTTCGAAACCGGGCGGCCCTCGGGGTTCACCCAGCCTCTAAGAAAATGGGTACCAGTGTTAACACTCTGGGGTAAATGGAGGAACGTCGCTGTAGCTACGGAGTTTCGTGCGGACGACGACATGTGCGAACACTTTTTTATCAGCTGTCCGTACTGGTGGCAGAGCACTTATGGTTTATAACCGTGTGCAGTGTCGCTGGTTCACATCTCCCGACTTTATCTTTTGATTAAATTGGATAAATTCAATAAAGAAGAACTAATATGAGAGATGTGTGGACAAATACCGGTATTAACAGCTAGAAAACAAAGAAAGTGGTTCTAAACTGGGCAGATCCTGGGGTGGGGGGGGGGGGGGGGAACAGTACATAATCAACAAAAAGGCACTGAAATATGAACAGATAGAACAAGTCATTATCCTCCGATTCAAAACAGAGCACAACCGATTACGTAACCACATGTACACAAAATTCAACATAGGCGTATCAGCCATGTGCACCTGTGGAAAGGTGCCCCAGACAGCAGAGCATGTACTCCAGGACTGCACCGATTTAGACGCTTTAAGGCAAACTTTTGGCCAGAAAGAACAACAGTGGAACGTAAACTCTATTTACCAGTGAATGAACTAACAACGACAGTGAAATTTATGCAAGAGACAAAACTGCTGATACAGACAACTTATTTCAGGCGAACGAAAGAAGAAGAAGGCACTGGAATGGGAAACAAAGGAGACTGAGGAAGCCACAACGTCCAACCAAAACCACAAAAGACGAACGTTGATCAGAAAGGCCACGAATGCTGGACTAGATTTCATCCGTGTTATCGTAAAGAGCATACAGAGGATAGAACGGATTAGAGGAGCAGATGCCCGGCTCGCTAGCTCAGGTGATTAAACACGACTGCGCGGCGACCTGGTGACGAACTCCTTTTGGTCCGAGTTCACGCCCGGGGGTAGGCATAAAAGTCACATTCCTCCCAGATTTACGGTATCTATCATGGAATCAAGGCTGAAGAGATGCGATACCCACAGTACCGAGGCAAAGGGTTAACAACTCATGGTTTCTATATACTTAAAAGAGGACCAGATTGCGAACCTTATGTGACACATAACGGTACTATAGGACACTGGTGGTGATGAGCTAACCCACCCCTCAGCATCTATAAGCGAGTTTAAGTGGAAAATTTGAGATGCATTGAACAAACAACTCGAAGCTTTTCAAATGAAAAGCTACTGACAATCTCTGAAAACACCGAGGACCAAGAAGAAGAAAAACATTGACATTTTACATGATCTCAGCCTCGACCAGAATGGGCCCATAAAGCTGCATCCTGTCCCGGCAGCTGAGGTATTCTGCCTATATTAACTCTTGCTGTCCCAACTAGCTGACAGTGTGTTATCAGTTACAATCAGTATGTATCAAACAACGAACTGTGTGTAATTATACATTTTACATTTGGTTTGAGAATGCTAAAAAAAAATCTGGCCAGATATGCTAATATACAGCGTAGTTAGTATATGTTGTCTCTTTGAAAGTAAAAACATTTGAAATAAAAACTTCTGATACTGAAAGAGTTAGACGCCATGGTGGCAGGTACAGTGTCTGGAACACGAAGCAGTCAGATCCCCTAGCGAAGGTGATTACCAGCATTGGAGATGCATTGGCTTTGAAAGCACAATGCTGTTCCAGGGTATGCTAGTGTAGGCAAAGAAAGAGCAGACGCTCTGGTGGCTGGCAGTGCGACTGTCAGGAATGGGCCATCTATGGACATGAGAGACATCATCAATGCCTACGAGAGACTAAACGCTGTGAGGCTTTCAATTTCGTGGAAAATGATTTTTCACTGAATAGACTGCATACCCTGTGTGTACCGGATGGAGCCGCGAGACAGAAAACCCATGTGGAGCCATCCGTCGTTACATCAGCCAGAACAGAATGGGAGTTGTTAGCCTAAAAACACTTGAGGACAGACTCAGAAGGAGACAGAGCACTTATGGTCATGTCTGATGTGCGATGAAGATGATCATTAAATGAACAATATAAGCGCAGTTCTGAAGTACAGACTAGAGAAAGAGGCGTTCCGTGATGAGACAGACGTTCAGTGAAGGACCTGCAGACTGATGGTGAACCCGCCCCTCATAACAAATCAAAACGCCTTCTATACCTGGTAAACACCAATCGTCTTCTACGCCTGACACCCAAACGCATGACGCCAACTCAATTGCATATATTTAAAAAAAATTGCGTCTGCCAATCAAAAATCAATCTTAAACAGACAAGAAAATCCTCGCACGAGAAGGAAAACGGTTTTGCTTTTTATTTTTTCGGAGTGAAAGAAAGTGAAATCTATATTCCGCCACACGTATAACAGCCAGAATGGCAACGAGAGAGAGAGAGAGAGAGGGGGGGGGGGTGGGGGGGGGTTGATATTGTCTCTTGCCCATTTGAAATGCAAGACAGGGCAATTTGTTTGACCACATGGACAAATAAATGGGAGAGAGACCCACAGACGGATATGAGAGTGGACATATAGACAGACGGACTGACTGACTGACATACATTACTTTATTTGGTACTTAATTTATAACTTACCCCTGACGTCACGGGAGACATTCCCAATACATTCTAGGGTGTTCAGGTTGTAGTTTCTCGCGATTTATCTACACCCAAGTTTAGGGTTAGGGTTAGGATTAGAAGACACTAGATGAACACTCAAAAAAAAAAAAAAAAAACAACAACAGCACACTTCCACCCCTTTAAATAATGGACTGTCAGGTCAGCTGTGGATTTCCCACGGAGATTTCGTGTTTGGGGTACGTTATAAATTAAAAACCCTTTTTTTCAGAGGGTTAGGAATTAGGCCCGCGTGCCCATTTATCATTTTACCTTCTTGGCCACACTCGCTGCATACATTATTTCATCATAAATCATTTAACAGCTAATAATAAATTTCATCTAAACTTAATTACATGGAAGGGTGAATAGGTGGTAAACAAATAGACAGACTGTAAGATAGACGGACGGACAGAGAAAGGGAGAGAGATAAAGATAGATAGACAGAGGAAGGAAAAGAGATAAAGACAGACAGACAGACACAGACAGACAGAGAGAGAGACAGAGAGGGGGGATTTTGATATCGTCTCTTGCTCATTTGCAATGCAAGACAGGGCAATTTGTTTGACCACACGGACAAGTAAGTGGGAGAGAGACCCACAGACGGATATGAGAGCGGACAGACAGACAGACGGACTGACTGACTGAGAGACATTACTTTATTTTCAGAGGGTTAAGAATTAGGCCCGCGTGCCCATTTATCATTTTAGCTTCTTGGCTACACTCGCTGCATATATTATTTCATCATAAATCATTTAACAGCTAATAAGAAACATCATCTAACTCTAAACTTAATTACATGGAAGGGTGGATAGGCTGGTTTGTAGGTGGTAGACAA